CAGCCGGCATTGTAGTCTACTCTACCAGGATTAGGAAACAGTCCTCCATAAAATGTGCTGCACACATCCGAATATTTGGGTTGAAGTGTTCTGGAACAGTGTTGTAAATACAACTTAACCACTGATTTGTAATCGTGTCTTTTGGAAGACCAAACAAAGTAGTTTTGCTTTCACAACGAAAAACACAGCGGCCTAGCGTGAGGGGAAGCCCCGGCTTAGCGTGCGCTGAGGCCGGGCTAGCGTGAGCTGAGGCGGCGGGGTCGAGTACGGCACGCCCGGCGGATGCGACAATGAGCGGCAACCACATGTGACGACCCCGGGCTGGACTTCTCTTTGTCCACGGTGAAAGTTGATGTATTCCCTCAGCGATCAGCGCTAGGCATGACGAAGCAGATATCGTCCTCTTTTGGAAGACCAAACAAAGTAGTTTCGCTTTCACAACGAAGCACACAGTGCCTTCACGACATGGCTGCAGCGTCAACAATACTACAGCGAGAATAAAAGTTACGCCTTCTTTCTTTGCGTCAACATTTGGGTGGCGTTATGCAAATCTTTCCACATAGTGAGGTAGATATGTGGGGGTATGTTAGAACGAGCCGTTTTAGGGGTGTGTGGCTGACTCTTAACGTTTATAAAGAATATCTCTTTGGATTTGAGACTTTAGTCTTTGCAACTTTACAGATCTTCTTTATGCACCAAGAGCTTGTAACACTCCAAAGAGAAAGGAAAATCGCATCATATGACCCCTTTAACAAACATTTTTTAAAAATCTGTAGGGGAAAAACCCTTCCGGAACCAAGGCTGCTGAAAAAGTGGGTCAAACTCATGTAATTGGTTGAGCCTGTTGCTACAACAGACAGGTCTGAATGTTCTTTTGTGTTTTTTTTTTTTAAAGCTCCACAGTGTTTTCACTCTTTGCAGAGTTGTTTTGCATATACTTTACATTGTCTTAGCATATTAAAATATGTTAACTTCTCACAAAGTACATATTGTCTCAGCTGCAAGCTTTTCTGCGTTTATTTTTTAATTCCCTCAGTAAAGTTTCCTCGAGCAGCAGCAGCAGCAGCTGGACTGTCCTATTTTAATCGTTTCCATGAGCTAATACTAGACCTACTTCAGGACTATTCTTTGACGATGGTGAGAAATACTTTGGACACCAGGCTTTTATTAATCTCATCACACTGAATGAGCCAGCACGCATTGCACTGTCTGCTATTTGTGGCCTAGCATCGTAAAATAAATCTTAATGTCAATCACTTGCTGAAAATACACCGTAGTTGGACAGGGTTGTGAGTCAGATTTCGGTCCGTACCACTTTTTTGGGACCCTTCCATTGGGGTACCTAGCACAGTAGTCCGGTACCTAACTGGAAGAGCTAGACTCACTGTAGAATGTTGATTGGTTGACTGAGAATCGTCACTAGCGCGTGCTACAAGGGGAGGGACAACACAAGGGGAACGAAGCGTCTCCTTCAGTCGTTCTGCCATGCTGCTCATGCGTGTTGGGCTTGTTTACATCAGAGTGCGCAAACACAAATAATATAACAGTGCATTTTAGAATTTTATATTTTCAAACACAAACACACAGACAATGTCGCAGCTTTCTTCTTTGCACGAGAATGACGTTGATCGTTACTTTCTGGCATACACCACACCTATCAAGTAAGGGTACTGTTGGCGATGGAAAAGCAAGCTGGATTAGGGTGTACTGCACTGAATCGTACCATACTGTACTCTACTGAACCTTACCGCTCTGTGGAAACGAGCCATTACTGTCAATAAGATCTGCTTTCTTCACTAGGCCTTTTGATCAATGTTTGCTGAAACAGTCAGGCTAGGTGTCTAGTCTGTGGGGGCAGATGCGCCCGAGTCCTCCTAGATTGCACATACAGCCTTGCGACAAAAGATTTCAGTGGTGTTTTTAGTCTAGAAAGCTTCTGAAGAAACAGTTCAGCGTCTAAGAATACTACTGTAAGAATTACCATGGCAACTGGGGACATTAGGCAGGGTGCTGCTGAAAGGAACAACAAGAGAGGCATCAGAGTCCACAGTTCAGTGGGTTCGTGTCACCCATTTGTGTCATTCTGCCAGATCTACTACAGTGTTTTTTGTTTGTTTGTTTGTTTTCTTTTTGCTAGGGATTTTCCAGAAAATATTTGAATAATTTACTCCGTACACAATTTTAAAAGCCCTGACATTATTAGTTTAAATGATGATAATAATATTGATTATTATTACTATTGTTATTATTATTGTTATTGTTATCTTTAACATTTCACATGGTTTATTAAATATGAGTATCATATTATAAAGATAATGTACATAAAATAATAATAGTAATAATAATGTATTATTATTTTATGTACAGTACATTTTATCTTTATAATAATATTTTATATTTCTTTACCCAGTATTGAAGTATGTATGAAGTATCATATAATCATATTAATAATAATAACAATAATCAATTATATTATTATTAATACTTAATATAAGTTAATGTACTTAATACATTTATACTGTCTAAATATTAAGAGTCTTTTTATACTAAGTATCATATTATAAAGGTAACATACACATTAATAATAATAATAATAATAAATTACCATTGTGTATTAACAATATTATATTTATTATGTAATTATATAATGAATATATTTTATATTTATTATAATTCTTACAATTTATTTATACAGTATAAATGTATTAAGTATCATATAATCATATTAATAAGAATAATACATTTCTTAATTTAATTTCTTAATGTAATTTTTTTAAATTAAATGTAATTGAATTTTTGTAGAAAATTTTTACATTTCTTAATTTAAATGTATATATTAAATGTAAAAATAATATTTTCTTTACACGGTATACATTTATTATAATATTGTCATTAATAATAAGAAGAAGAATACATTGTTTATTATTTTTATTATTATATTTAATGTACTTAAAAAAAAAATTATATTACACTTAATGTTTTCCTCACACTGGATAAATGGGTCTTTACACATTAAATTATATAGCTGCCATCATATTTTAGGAAAGGCGTTCTTCATAAGTGGATGATTTTATTGGGGCCCTTGACGTCAAAAAGTATGAAAACTAAGTGAATAGATGAAAAATGTTTAGTAACTAGTTCTAATTGGAATACAATTATTACTTTTATTTGAATTGTTTTGAAATGTGTAAAAAAAATTATTGTATTTTATCATAGCAGTTATTTTCAGCCTGCTTTTTTATGTACACCGTGTAAGGAATATTGTTTTTCCAAAACTTGTTCAGCTTAATGTTTATTAATTCATTTAAATAATAAAACACACTTTCATTATGAATGCATCAGTCCCTCAGCCTTCTCGCAGTGTGCTAGTGCTTAACAACAACTTGTTGACATGTACTTGCGTCTCACTTTGCTTTCAAATTGACTGAGTTTTCATTTATTTAATTTACAGCTGTTGAACAATCTGAGAGCGACATTTACATGCGGTTTATGAAGTCACATAAGTGCTATGACATCGTCCCTACCAGCTCCAAGCTCGTGGTCTTTGACACAACACTGCAGGTAAGCGCTCTGTGGATGTGTTTATGTCACTGAAAACAAATCTATGTCAGACATGTTTACCATGACTCACAAAATACTCATTCCGCAAAGTTAGTTTTGTTTTCTTTTCTTTTTTGTTATTATAATTTTTTTATCGTTAAGGGGCATATTGCTATTATTCTCACTCATCATACTTATAAGTACACTGTAAAAAAAAATAAACAATTTTCAATGTTGTAAATAAGACAAGTTTATTGGAGTATGTTTTACAAAAAAAAATACTTTCAGTTTTCCTACTTAAAAATGTAATGTTTAATTTAACGTGTTACTTGCCATTTCTTTGTAATTGTTTGTGAAATTTATTAGCAATTTCTGAGGGAAAATTGTCTCTACACCAGTGTATTACACTTCTGTAACATGTCCCATTATTTTATCTAAATAAATCAAATTCTACAAATGATTTTAGACATAACAATATTATAATGTACAATATGAAAAATAGATATTCATTTTGAAATTCACTAAAGATTATATTTAATTTGTAGTTATGCTTATAGGAAAGAAGTCCTGAATCAAAATGTGGCCCCTTTTTGCATGTCATGTAAAATTACTTCAGAATTTACTTGCTTTCCATAGAGATAATTGTTTTGACCTATATATATATATATATATATATAGATATATATATATATATATATATATAGCAAGAAAATTCTGAAGTAATTTTATATGACATACAAA